CTCAGTCCCCCCCAGCACCCTCCACCTCACAGACTGTGCTGAGAATTAAGGGCAGACCTGTAAGAGATGTGTGCGTGGCAGTGTTGGGTCAGGGCACTTCTGCCGGCAGGAGGAGACAGGTACTGACAGGCATGGTGGGGCTGAGGCACCCTATCCCGCCTCAGCCTGGCACAGGTGAGCTGGCAGTAAGTGGCGGAAGATATCAAGTGGCAGCTCTCGGGTCTTAGAAAGTTTCTAAGGGCATACAGACCTAGTGAGGCCGTCTGAGTGGATGCATGTCACAAACTGTAAAGCCTGGTGAATGTGAAGTGGTGGTGGCACTACACGATTCATTCAGCACACAATGTTCTCTGACCCCCTCCCACCTACTTTGTTCCAGAACCTGTGCTGGGCACACGGAGTTCAACAGTGAATGCCACAAACCATTCTCTGCCCTCAGATCTAACGTGAGTCTAAAATATTGCAGGCTCCAGTGTAGTCACTAAATCCTGTCATCCCCACAAAGAGGCAGCGCTGTTTGGGTGTCGGCATGTGAGACATTCATATGCACTTCCCATGGTGTGGGGGCAGGACATTTGCCAGGTGCCTTAAAGTGGAGCCCTGCACCTCCCTGCAGCATCGGCAGCGCCTGTCACTGAGTTAACAGGCAAGGATCAAACTCAGGGCCCTTCACACATCCCTCCACCCATCTTCCTCAGGACCAGGCAGCCCTGACTCCAGGTGTGTGCTGGAACGTAAGAAAAGCAGTGCGCAGAGTATTGCGCTCAAGCAACGTATCTAGCAGGTGCTTACTCAGGAATACAACTCTCAGCCATCATGCCACAGAGGGGGTTCAAGCAGCTGAACAAGTGCTGGGAGAGCATCAAGACTCTAACCAAAAATGTATGGCCCATGAAAGGAGAGAGAAAATGAAATGGAGCATCGGCCCGCTTCTGAGTCCCGAGGCCCTGGGAAGGAGAGGCTCGCCAACACGCTGCCTGGGCAGCTTGCTTCCTGCAGAGCCTCCGGAAGAAGAGCCCAAATACCAGAGAGATGCTACAGCCCAAGATTTTCTGTCTAAAATAGGGAATTGTGCAATGAGAAAGTTCATACATTTTCCAGTATGTGAGGGGACCTCTCAACCTGAACCCTCATGTTCAGCTGTCAGACTAACGGCCAATAAAAACAACAGGAGCGAAACTTCTTAGAAAGATGCTTTTAAAAAGAGCATGAGGGCCCTGATGGGGTTGTCCCCATATGTCAAGAATACACAAAGGTTGAGGGTTTGATCCCTGTTCAGGATACGTACAAGAATTAACCAATGAATGCATAAGTAAGTCTAACAACAAATCTCTCTCTCTCTCTCTCTCTCTCTCTCTCTCTCTCTCTAATCAATTAATCAATCAAAATAAAAAGATGCATGGTGAAGAGCACCATTAACCAATGTCCATATTACAAGTGCAGCCAATATAAATGAATGAGGTGCATGTGACCGAAATCCAGCAGATAGAGTTAGAGTGTGAGATGGCTGAGGATGAACACAGGATAAAAATGGAAATTATCAATAAAAGGATGTAGTGAGAAAGAAAACCACAAAGTTTTACCAAGGAATGGCCTGCTTCTTCGATTAACTGCCTCTTTCCCAATCCACTCTAAGACTGTGTTGGCAAAGAAATCTGGAACATGAACTTGTGGTCAGTAACTTGTAACAGAGCTGCAACTAGGAAAATTAGAATGGTAGTAGCCAGTTAATTAAGAATGCATTCAGGGCCCTGGCCAGATTAGTTGACTGAAGCATCCGTCATCTGGTGCACTGAAAGGCTGCAGGTTCAATTCCTGATCACATACCTAAGTTGCAGGTTTAATCTCCAGTCAGGTGCATATGGGAGACAACCAATTGATATTTCTCTCTCACATCAATGCTTCTCTCTCCCTTCATTTCTCTAAAAAATCAATAAAAAAAACACACATATGAGGAATAAAAAGAAAAAAGAATACATTCAGGTGTATTCAGGTACCCTCTGTACCCCTTAACTGGCAAAGAAGTTGTTATAGTTTTCTGAAAATTATCACTCTGAGTACTATAATTCTAAATGTAAAGTCTCCTAATTAGAATTTATACAACAACTAGAAAGAGAGGAAGGAAAGATAAAAGGGAAGAAGGAAGGAAGAACTAATAGTTGTATCTTAGAGAGAAAGAAAATATTCCTAAAGGACTATCTGAAATGTGAGAATAGGTGGTGAAGGAGTTCTTAAACTTGACCCAAATTGCACAGTGTATAATAGGAAAAAAATAACATATTCAATACATTAAAATTAAAAACTGAATTCATCAAAAGATATGATAACGTGTGAGATGTGCTGGCAAGATAAATTTGTGATATTTATAATAGTCAGTGAGATACACACTACTAGAAAGAATTCCTGTGAATCAATAAGAAAAGACAAAGTTATAAGAAATTTGGAAAAAATAAAAAATTTACAGAAAAGTAAATATATGAAAATAAGTTCAATCTCAGTAATCATAAAAAGTAAAACCTAGTGAGATACATAGAAAATTCTAAGGAATATATCAAACCATCACCAAAAAAGGAGAATTCAGAAACCCTCCTTGAACTAATAAGTGAGTTCAGCAAGTTACAGGATACACTACCAACACACAAAATCAATCCTATTTCTAGCCACTAGCAATGAACAATTGGGAATTTTTTTAAGCAATAAAATTTACAGTAGCTCTCCCAAAATCAAATATTAAGGCATAATTATAAGAAAATGTGCACAGCATCTATAACACCACAATCTACAAAACATTGATTAAAAAAAAATTCAAAGAGCATTTTACTATTGGAAAGATGTGCCATGTTCATGGATTGAAAGATTCAACATAGAAAAGATGTCATTCTCTTCAAATGAATCTCTAGATTTAACACAATCAAAATCTCAGCAAATAGATATTCAGATATTAACATGCTGATTCTAAATTTTAGGTGGAAAGGCAATGGAAATAGGAAAGGGGTGAGCTATCTCCTGAAATGGGCAGAAATGTGAGTCACCTGTACTGTCAACTCTTGATTACAGGGACCCTATGGAAAGTTTAAAATTCTATAGTATGATTTCTCCAAACTACAAACCCAGGAGACATCCTTGGCTCCCTCCACCACCAATAACCCAAAATTTCCAGTGGCCATAATCCAACATGTTTTTCTTTTTCAAAACTATTTTATTACTTTGTAAAAAATAAATTTCTTTGTGCTCACTGTGCAGTGTGAGCAATGGAACATTATCATTATCTTTGGAGACCTCTATACAACCATTCTCAGCCCCATAGCCCTTTCTTCCTCAGGAAAGTCATTCTTAGGAGGTGCTTGGGAGGGGCTGAAGTAATTGAGGAGTAGCAATGAGTCAGATTTTATACCCATTGGATTTGAGGATTTTGAGAAATAGGATCAGGATTGGGGTGAGGCAAGTGAGATATCTGGGTGAAAAATTTCATGACAAACTCACTTTCAGTACCATACAAATGCAGGTTTGGTCCCTGAAGAGAGCAGAGACATTCATAGGCAAGTGTATGGACATGTGGGATTGAAGGCCACAGAGAGAAATGGGCTGGCAGTGGGTTCCTGGGATCCAGCCTATAAGGTCCTTCTAAGCACAGATTTAATGAGTGAAGAGAAGGAGAATGAGGAGGCTCATAAGAATACCCTAAGGAGGCCCCATGAAGAAGATTTACTCAGAGAGTCAGATACAAACCAACAATAAAAAAACTTGGACACCTTGAACAGGTAGCTCAGTTGAATAGAGCATTGTCCAATACATCAAGAACGAAGGTTTGCCAAAACCGGTTTGGCTCAGTGGATAGAGTGTCGGCCTGTGGACTGAAAGGTCCCGGGTTCGATTCTGGTCAAGGGCATGTACCTTGGTTGTGGGCATATCCCCAGTAGGGGGTGTGCAAGAAGCAGCTGATGGATGATTCTTTTTTATCAATGTTTCTAGCTCTCTATCCTTTTCCCTTCCTCTCTGTAAAAACTCAATTAAATAAAAAAAAAGAATGAAGGTTTGATCCCTGGTGAGAGCACCTATAAGAGGCATAAATAAGTGGAACACCAAATCAATCTTTCTCTCTTTTTCTCTAATCAATTTTTAAAAAGCTACTTGGAACTTATGTCTATCCTCTCCTCCAGGCCTCTAACTGGATATGCATCTGGTAGACATATACAATAGTTCCTCTCCTGGGCTTACCAACCAGTGCAAGCCCAGCCCCAAAGCAAACAAAAACAGAGCCCAGAGAAGTCAGGAAAAAGGTTTGGTTTCTCCACCAAGGGAGATAATAAATGACTAGACACAGTTGAGAGGTGATTAAACTGGAACCGTATTGCCTAGCAGGGCATCAGATACTCTAACTTGACAGGTGGGGCGGGGGGAGTGCACCAAGCCAAGTTCCCACAGGGCCAAGCATGCACTGTCAGTGGGTGAAAGGAGCCAGGAGAAGGGGAAAACTATTCCACAGTGAAAGTGAGCAACAGCATGTGCTACACAATGGCACGGAGTTACAGGGGAGAGGGATGTGGTCCACTGAGGACTCTGGGTTATTTTTAAAAAGATAGTCATAACTCATTTCAGCCTACTCTTGCCTGGGAAATGTGTTCACTGTAGCCAGAACTAGAGATTTCTCAAGAAATGTCTGAAATTTGGATTTCTCATGTGAAATGTCTTATTTTAAATTTTGGCCACTTACTCAGACACACTTAAAAAACTGTATATGCCAACACTGTTTGGACCAAGTAGATACACCCACGGGCCAAATTTGGCCAAGTCCTTCTGTGGGCAGCCTCTGTGTTAACCCCTTGGATTTTCTAATAAAATTCACTGTGAGGGCGCCAGCCTTCCTCCCCATTTCCTCAATTCCCACCTAAATTCACCTGAAGAGTTTTAACCAGAGGCAGAGGAGCAGAGAGACCCCACAAAGGAAGATGACCCCATACACACAAATGACCTCTCCTTCCCTGGTTTTTCTCTTACAGGTGTTTGGGTTCTGGGTCTGGGTCCTGGTGTCTGCCACCCACGTGGCAAACCCCCTGCTGCAAGGATGGGTGCTGTATGTCTCGCTGACCTCATTCCTCATCTCCCTCATGTTCCTGTTGTCTTACTTGATTGGATTTTACAAGAGATATGAGTCCTGGAGAGTCCTGGTAAGAACCAGTGCGGGACTAGGCCCTCAGACGCCCCCAGACTGGTGTCCTGGATGTTGTGGGGATAGAGGGCCTTCTGGGTGCGGAGGGAGATCCAGAGATCTTTCCTGGGCTGGGCCCTTATGACCAAGACTTTACGTGAATGTGTTTGCTCTGAAACTGGAATGAGAGCGCTGTCCTGCCAGAGTCAGTCTCATTGCATTCCCTGCTGTGCCTTCCTTGTGAGGAGCGTACACATTCTGTATGCAGTTGATCCTTGAACAGCATGGGGTTAGGGACCTACTTCCTAAAAATCTACTTATAACTTCTGACTCCCCCCAAATGTCGTTACTAAAAGCCTATTGTTGACTAAAGGCCTTACCAATAACACAAGAAGTTGATTAATACATATGTCATATGCTAATGTATTATATACTGTATTCTTACAATAAAGAAAGCTAGAAAAAAGAAAATGTTATTAAGAAAATCATAAGGAAGAGAAGATACATTTACAGTATTTATTGAAAAAAATCCACATTTAAATGGACCAGCATCGTGTTGGTCAAGGGTTGACTGTACTCCTGTGTCAAGCACATCCTGACACATTTCCCTCTAAATCTCATTTGGGAAAAATCAGCAGAGCAATATCCAAGGAAATGCCAGCAGGAAATAGTCACCCCAATCTTGAGGTCTTGTCACAATCACTGGTTTCATTCTTCTGATTCCCCACAAATTTTGTGTAATATTTGTATATATGTTAATCACACTGAACTAATAATGTTGGATGTCAAAACTTTCATTTAATATTACATCATTGTTTCATGTTTCCACATCATCTTGATAACTTACCTCATCACTGACCAGATTAAATGAGATAAATGAGAAAAGAGCATGGCCTAGAACTTGGCACAGAATAAGCTCTCAATTAGTATTTATATTATTACTGCTGTTTATTAATCCACTATTGCTCACTACATCGATATTTCATTAGAAACACTGCAAACAAACCCCCCAAAACAAAGCAGGAGTCAGGGAGCAGGCCTGCCTCTCTCTCACGCCTCCCAGCTGTGTTGTGAGAGGAAAGCGCTCCCTGGCTAAGTGCCCGGGTGATGTGGCCTCCCTCTTCCCTTCCAGGACAGCCTGTACCACGGGACCACTGGCATCCTGTACATGAGCGCGGCTGTCCTGCAGGCCCACGCCACCATCGTCTCTGAGGACAAGGACCTGGGCAACTACATGACAAACACTGCGGCCACGGTGGGTGCTGGGCCTGACACCATGGGGAGGGGTCCCCGGGCTTGGCTCTTTGGCTCTGCCTCCGGCAGGACAGCCCACCTGAGCCCTCGGGCTGATGGAGCACTGGGGACAGGAGAAGGAATGTGTGTGTGTGTGTGTGTGTGTGTGTGTGTGTACGCACGGTGTGTGTGTGTGTGTGTGTGTGTGTGTGTGTGTGTACGCACGCATGTGTGCCCAAGCTCGCAGTGCTCTGGGCCCAAGTTCAGGTGTCACCTCTTGCCTTCTGTTTTTCCACCTCAGCCCTCTTACATTCCCTTCACTGCCATCCAAATATTTTTTTTCCCCAAAGCACAATTGGAGCAGCCATCTCCTATTGCAGGTCCTTCAGGGCTCTCATTACTATGGAGTTGGAGCCCAGGGCCCTCAGCACGGCTGCACTGTCCAGGCGCCCTTTTATGTCAGTGATGGGACCCAAATCAAGGTAGTCCAGCCAGACTGTGGGACAAGCGGGACCTCAGACCTTAGGCCCCAGGGACCAGACTTCAGGCCCCTGTGCCTCCCCTCCTGGTCTCTGCACTGTGCCTCCTTCCTCCTGTGTGGGAATGGCGCCCTCACGTGGCAGTAAGCTCACAGCTAACAGATTCCTCTTCTGACAGACTTCGCCTTTATCACCTCACCTGGGAAACTTCCAGGGCAGGACTCCGGCGCTCAGCTGGGTCTGTCACGCTGTCACCATGGCATCACTGTGGCCACAAGGTGGACTCCATGTCCCTGGGGGCTCCCACAGAGATCAGGTGGCCAAGGGGTGCAGCAAGGGGGGCTGCCCAGAAAAAGAATGGGGTGCCAGACAAGCACCATGACCCACTAGGGTGGCCACAGGTATTCAGCTGTCTTTCCAGCCTGTCTTTTTCCTTCTCATTGAACCTTTTCCCCTCCTTCAACTGCCACCCACCCCACCTTCGGCCCCGGCCCTTCACAGCCTGGCCGTGCACACTGCCACCAGCTCTCAGCTGCTACGCCACACAGGCCTCCTGGCTGCCTCTGAACACAACACATCTCTGCCTCCAGGCCTTGGCAAGGACCCCCCCATCACATGAGGATGGGAGTTTTTGAATGTTCACTGGTATAGCCACTGTTGTTTTTGAAGTATAACAGGTGCCCAAAGTATATTTGTTGAATGAATTAATGAATGAATGAGAACAGGGTGTGAATGGACAGCAGGGCAAAGGCTGGAGCAGTCAGCCAGGCCTGGAAAGTGTGCTAAGAGCAAGGACTCTACCCTGAGAAGTGGGGAGTCATCACACGGTTTTCGTCTCATGCTGGTGACAAAGGTGAGGCTTCCCTCTAGAGCACAGCGGAGAGCAGATTGGGCAGAGAAGGACAAGTGAGGCAGAGAGAAGCCCTGGTGAGGGGTGATAATGTGAGACAAGGGAGAAGTGGGCTGGGGGGCAGTGCAGACAGATGACTTGGGACTTGGTTGGGAAGGGGAGGAGGAGTCAGAGTGGCCACAGTTTTTTGGCTTGTGGAGCTGGGCAGGAGGATGTCCTGGCGCTCACAGCTCGTCCATCTGAACTATGGAGAGTTGAAGGGGCTCTGAAACTGCCATGAGGAGTGACCCGCAGGCTCTTGGGAGGGCGTCTGGGCTGGCGAGGGAAACTGAGAGTCATCAGAGCACAAATGGTGACAGAGGATGGGAGAGGGAGACACTGTGACTGGAAGACAGCAGGAGAGAAAGGGCCCAGGGCAGGGAGGGCGATGAGCTGCTTTATGGCAGGAAGGGACGCATAAGTCTGCAAATGAGGCTAGAGCGGGGCGCAGGGAGTGTGGCCTCAGGATACCTGCGGTGGACAGTTCCAGGGGCACGAAGCAGCCGGCCAGTGGTTGCTGTCCTCCGGCGGACAGCGGGCACAGCAGGGTCAGGGCATGTGGCCAGCTGGGCCTCAGGGCCTCCGGGCCCCTTGGAGGGATGGGCAGCAGCTGCACTGTCTAACAGTCACTCTCACCCCCTTCCAGTTCTTCGCCTTCATCACCACCCTGCTCTACGTGCTCCACGCCTTCAGCATCTATTACCACTGAGGGCAGGGGTCCCCCCGGCGCGAAATGCTCTCCTAAAGCGTGGACCACTGGCTCCCGAAGGTCGCTTCAGCATTCGCCATCTGGATGACACACAGACCAACAAAATGTCAGCGGGACTAACAGACCGTTTTTTTGGACAGAGGGATGAAATCCCACTCCGCATAGCCTCCTGGACTTGGTAATCCATCATGATGACTGTGAGAGGCTGCATTGCCTTTGTCTGGAAAGTAACTGGCTCCAGAAAACTCATTTCCAAAGTCCTCAGCGTTGAGAATCCCGATCCACTAGCGTCACATCTGCCTGGGGACCCCTGTCTCAGCAATTAGGGTCCCCAGGCAGGTGTATGGGAATGTGCAGTCTTAGTTTCTTAAAGCCTACATGGTGCTATCAACGCCTCCACATCACACCTCTGCTTAGATGCAGGTCCTCTCCCGCCCTGTGCTTCTCGGCAGCAAAGACCAGCAGCACTGCCACCCCATTAGACCCCCCCTCCCTTTCCTTGCCAGCCTTGGGACCCAATTTAGAGGCTAGATTTGCAGGAAAAGAAGTGAATTATTCTACAAAATTGTTATGTAGTAAGAGCTGGGTGTGGGGATGGGCTGCAGGACCCCGCCCGACAAGGACCAGAAGCCACCTTGCCCCCCAGAAGACCTTCAGGGAAGGAAGCAGGATGTTACGCACAAGGATTCTCCTCTGGGCGCCTCTCACACTGCGGGACGGGTAAGGAGGCCGGAAAGGGCCCCCGTCCAGGGACGTGCTCTTTCGTGGGTGCCCACTCCCCTCCAGGCCCCGCTGTGGTGCTAGCGAAGAGCAGCCTGGGCCACTGCGCTGCCTCCCACAGTGCGGGGCTCCCATGGCTGGACACATGGCGTTCGACTTTTGGACCATTCTCAGTGAGAGGGCTGGCGTTGTGCATACAGAAACACAAGGAGAGGCACTTGGTTTCAGAGTAAACGTCTTCCCTGAGAAAGCTGTGCATCTGGCTTTCTCCACACTGTCCTCAGCTCCACGGTGGCCTCTGGCCTCTCGCCTCGGGCATTGCCCACAACCGCACGCACCTGCGGTCACTTTGAAAAGAAGTAGGCTAGACCTGGAGGGACTCATCTTCGCTGATTTAAGGGTTCACAGTTACCGTCTTCTGCTCCTGGGAGAAGGGGGACTGGGAGTCACCGAAGAAAAACTGATTTCGCTGTCCCTGCCTGCTGGCTTCCTGCTTGCCCCGCTATCTTGAAAACCCCCTTTACTCCTCTCTTTCTTGCCTGGCAGCTGCCTGGGATGAGCACTGTTCAATATGCACTGAGTAGCCACATCCAAATAAAAGGTGTTTTACAGTAAAACACACCGAGTGGGCCACGTTGGTGATGTTAGAAGCTGGAAACGCGCAGTTCCACGGCCTGACCGCAGTTTCCCCACAAGCCCCTGTGGAGGTTTCTCAGGCCGGCCCACCGGCCAACCACGTGCGAGGCCACATTTGTCTCCAGGGCTTGGGCAGCTTGTCCGCCGCAGTAAGGACAGTTTGGGCACAAGCCCCAGAACCAACTCTCGCAGCTGAGGCAAAGCTGGGGGCACAGTGGCTGTTCCTGGGTAGAGAGCAGACCCCTTGTCAGCCCTCTGTTCCTGCTCTTCTTCCTAGGGTGCTGTTCTCTCTCCTACCACCCCGCAGGCCCCCACTCACCGTGCAGACACTGTGGGCCCAGCCCCGAGCCGTGCTCCACCCCTTCACCTGCAGCTGACACAGTTCCAGGCTCACCACCACCTTCCTACCTTGGGGTGGGGTTGGGGAGGGTCTCTTTCACTTCTAGGGCCCTCCCCAGGCTCCTGACTTTACAGGGAAGACCCCAAGGCATCCCAGCAGGAAAACACCCCAGGGGCCAGGGCCCAAGCTCTTCTAAACTTCACTTTCCCATCTGCACCCCAACTTCCCAGCATCCTGCACCCAAGTTCTTGCTTGGCTCAGGATGCCTGGGATGACCAAGGCACCAAGCATCCCACACCATGTCCTGAGCCCCAAGCATGTGGTTGCCGGGTTCAGCAGCCACTCCCCTGCACCAGCTGAGCCAGCCGGAGGCAGGTTAGATTTGCGGTTTTGACCCAGTGAGCCAGCAATTCTGCTTTGGCCAATAACTAGGCCACAACCTTTCAAAGAGATGAAATAATAATAAACATTAATATTTCAAAAACAAACAACAATCCTGGCCCAGTGGCTCAGTTGGTTGGTGCATCATCTGGTGCACCAAAACGTTTCAGGTTCGATTCCCTAGTAGGGCACATACGGAAGGCAACCGATGGATGTTTCTCACATCAATGTTTCTCTCACTCCCTCCTCTCTCTAAAATCAATAAACATATCCTCAGGTGATGATTTAAAAAATAAGAAAACGACATACCTCTGGGGTCAGCCAGACAGGACTGGAAAAGCCCCGAATGACAGAGTGTTGGTTCCCCCACCGGCCCCTGATCTGTCACTGGCCTTCGTGTCCGGAATTTGAAGTGGAACCTGTCTAGAGGAAGGCTGGACACTGACCTGGGAGAACCACATGTAGGCTCTCCAGCAGCATGATGGGCGGCGGAGAAGCAGCACCACTCTGCTGACTTCCCCGAACACCTGCAGAGCCAGATTTTCCCTCTGGTCCTTTTTAGGAGACCAGAGGACCACCAGTCCCAGTGCTGCCACACCCCTGTCCCTCTGTCACCATCCCCCAGGCCATGTCTCTGCCAAGACTGTGCAGTACACAGCAGCACTTCACCTGTCAGTAGCTCACAGCTGGGGAAAGGTGAGGCATGTCCATGGTGATGCCAGACCACCCGGGCAGAGACTTAGCTCCCAGGAACTCTTACTGACCTAGTAGACCTTGTCCTCACTGCACTGGGATTTATCTCTGTGTAGTTCAGCCCGTCTCTGCCCCAGGTGTGTGTTTTATCACGGGAGAAATGTTCGACGTGGTGATAAAGCAGGGGGCTGACTCAGAGCCCCACCTAGATGCCTCTTTATTGTAACTAGGCCATCCAGGAAGCACCCTGGTTTCTGTTGTGTCCCACTGACCTCCCACCCCTGTTCCAGAGTCCGTAGCTGCATCTCCCAGGGGACTGGAGCAGCAGGCAGCCCCTGGCGTCTACTGTTGCTCAGCTCTGCCCATCCTCCCCTCCAGGCCTGCTCCTGCGCCTGCTGCTCAGTGACACCACATCCTCGCCTCACAGAGGAAGCCATCCCAATTTCACATCCAGACGCTGCGTGCTCAGGTCATCGGTCAAGCTTTAAACCTCACCCCAGCATTTCTCCACATTTTCTTCCTTGTTTTGGCCCTTTAACTTAAGTAGTTTTCAAAGCATTGGAAACAAAATCAGGTTATCAAAACATGCAGAATGCCACCCCAGGAAGGTCAGCCAGCCCTGAGCCATGCTCTCGTCCCACTTTTGCATTAGCTCCAGGTGGGTAAATTACTGTGTGTGACAGGCAGGGCCCCTGACACCCGTTCCAGGCTTCTTCGTTGCTCCCATGATCCTGTTGGTGGTGAGGGCTGGATTCTGGCAACTGAGAAGGAAGCAGAGATCTCCTGGGGGTGGGGGCAAGGGGCTTGGGAAACCTTTCGCTTTCCTGAAGGGGTCAGACATGACTGGCTGTCTTAGATTGAGTTCCTGGGGACAGGGTCTGAGCCTGAGGCTGTGTTTGTGCAAGTTTACTGAGGAGGCCTGTGGGGAGATGAACCTGGGACAGATGAGGGGGGCAGGACAAGTCGAAGAGGTGCTGGCCTGAGTGAGGTTGCAGCCTTGGCTCGATGAGTGGCTGCCCCTGCAGAGTTGCCCTGCCTGGCCAAGGCACAGGGCAGAGCCTCTGCCTCCCACATCAGCACCAGGTCATTTTTAGGGGTGAGGGTGCCAAGGCATCAGTGGCAATTGCTCTCCCGCTGGCCCTTCCCCAGCAGCTGGAGGTGGCAGCCACACCCACTACTCTGTCCTCTCCCCTCCTGCCTTGAACAGGGGCATCACGGCTGGGGCAACTTCAAGGAGATGGTGAAGAAGCTCGCCAGACAGGAAAACTGTTGGACCAACACCAGCCACTACTTCCCTCAATGCTTTTTATTTTGTTTGTTTTTAAATTTTGTTTTAATTGATTTTCAGAGAGAGGGAAGAGAAGTGGGAGAGAGAGATAGAAACATCGATGAGAGAGAAACATCACATTCATCGGCTGCCTCCTGCACAACCCTCACTGGGATCGAGCCCCCAAGCTGGGTATGTGCCCTGACTGGGAATCAAACTGGCGACCTCTTGGGTGCATGGACTGATGCTCAACCACTGAGCTATACCAACATTTTCGCTTTCTGTGAGGTCGACTTCCATTGTGGTTGACTCTCTAAAAGGCATTCTCTTTCCCAACTCCAGTGCCCAGTCTTCCCTCAGAGGCCCCCCTCCTGTGTGGCTCTGGAGTCTACTTTCTCCTCACTCCTCTAGGCCCATCACTGGAGTCGCACACAGGACCTGCATGCCCAGTACCAGGAACCCCCAATAGTCCCCAGCCCGGATCAGATTCTGTCCCTGCCTGGCCCATAGTCCTTCACTGTCCTCAGAATGAAGTCCAGCCTCCTTAGGAAGTGGCAACCAGGCCCTCCGCACAGGTCTGACCCTGCCCCTGATGGCCCTGTGTCAGGATGGCCCTGCGGCCGCTCAGCCCTGCTGCTGTGGCTGCAAAGTGGTGGACTTTCTGTCCCCTCCCCCTGGGCACATGAAGCCCTGACCCTCTTGTTGCCATGAAGAGCTCTTATTTGTCCGCAGAGCATCTTCCACCACTCCTCCCTCCCCACCCCTGCAGTAAGTCACTGCCTCCTCAGTGCCCCTGCTCCCGAGTGCATGCTGCTGTCCCCACTAGGCCACAAGGTTTCCAAGTCTGGGGTCTGGCTTTTGGATGTTTCTATCATTTTTGCCCATCCCCACCCTCCCTGGCCCGGCCCCACCAGCCTCTGCTCTGAGTGCTTTCCCAGCTCTGTGGGCAGGGGTGGGGACTTGCAAAGACCATGGCCAGCCTGCAGGGGCAGTGGCACATCTGGCTCCTGCCCTCCCTGTCCTCACCTCCAACACCACGATCTGACATCCTGGGAGCAAAGGCTGCTCTATGTCTGTTTCTTTACCTCCTGGACTTCCATGTGGCAATCCAGCTCCTTCCACCCTGGACTCTCATTCACAATGAGGAGGAGCCAGCCCACCACCACCAGGGCCTGGCCCAGCTCTGGTGGCCTCTCAGGGCCCTGCTGCTGGCCCACCATGGACAGCTGGGGCACCAGGGCTGGCCTGCGTGCTTTCCAGTCCTCCCCTGGGTCCAGGCCAGCACACAGTAGGGCTAAAAACCAGGCACTTCAGTGCCCCGACAATCCCACAGCCTGTGTGTTAGGGAGCTCTTCTAAGGGAACTGCTAAAACCGTGGTTCCAAATGTCACAGGCCAACTGGAGCAGCACATGGACGTGGGCCTGGAGGGTCAGTTGTGGCCTTGAGTGTGAGGGCAGGGCTCCCCTCCACTGTGTGGAGGAGGCTGGCAGCGGGCTGCGGTGGCTTTTTAGGGCGCCTCCTTCCTCAGACCCCTGTTTCTCTATATGGAGACCTGCTCTTGCCTTTAGGAAGAAGGAATACAGCGGGCCACTCTCCTGGGCCAACTCCGCCAGGCGACCTGTCCAGCCCCCATGTGGGGATCATGAGTGCAGTGGAAGCTGTGAACCTGGCAGGGCACATGGATTCCTTCAGAATGTTCCCAACCCAAATGCTGGGCCAAGGCTGAAAGAAAGAGGCTGGTGTCCCACCCATGTCGCTGGGGCCAAGCCATGAAGAAAGGTCTGTTTTACGTGGAAGGAAGGGGAAGGACTTGTGTGTGCTGCCCTTCCTGGCCATCGCAACCACATTCACCCTTTGCACTTAGCTCTGTTCACGGAATGTCCACAGCCTCCTGGGCCCCTGGGTGGGGCCATGAGGCCATGTGGGTTAGGGTTAGAGTTAGGGTTAGGATTAGGGTTAGGGTTAGGGCTAGGGCTAGGGTTAGGGCTAGGGCTAGGGTTAGGGTTACGCAGGGCCATGTGGGAGCAAGACATAGGTTGTGCAGGAGCTGAGCTATGGCGGCTCCTAGGACCCTGAAGAGCCATATATAATTATCAACTTAAAAATTAGCCTGCTATATTTGGTCAAACACTTAATTCACTCACCTCTAATGCCTTGGCGGGGCTAGACCAAATGATTTCACAGGCCTTATACTGCCCTTGGGCTGGACAGTCCCCATCTCCAATTTAAGAGAATGTAAGGGTCACCATATTTCAAATTCAATATTTGAAATGAAAAGGCTCAAAATGACCTTCTTGTCAGAATATTGAAGTACTTAAAAAGGAAAGCACTTTAATTAAATTTATAAAGGCAAATTAAATGGTTGGAAGGTATTTCCTTAACTATGATTACAACTGAAATCAAAGGTCCATTAAGAGTGAATGCTGGCTTAACACTAGCAATGAATAATCCTAAAATAAAATTAAGAAAACAATTCCATGTACAATGACATCAAAAAGAATGAAATTCTGACCCTGGCCTGGTAGCTCAGTTGGTTAGAGCTTCATTCCATGCCAAAAGGCTAAGGTTGCATGTTCAATCCCTGGTCAGGGCCATACAAGAAGCAACCAATGAATGCATAAATAAGTGGAACAACAAATCAATGTTTATCTCTCTCTCTCTTCCTCTTTCTAAAATCAATAAAAATTTTAAAAGAATAAAATACTTAGAAATATGTTTAATTAAAAAGTGTAAGACTTATACACTGAAAACTGCAAAGCATTGTTGAAAGAAAATTTAGAAGACCTAAATAAATAGAAAGACATTCTGTGTTTAAGGAGCAGAAGACAATGTTGTTAAGATGACAACTTTCCTCCAAATTAACAAACACATTCAGTGCAAAACCTTCCAAACTTTCACTGGCAGTTTTTGCAGAAATTGAAAAGTTGACCCCAAAATGCATGTGGAAATGCAAAGGACCCAGAATAGCCAAAACTAGTTTGAAAAAAGAAAAAAACAAAGTTGGAAGGCTCACATTTCCAAATTTGAAAACTTAATACAAAGTACAGTAATTAATACAGTGTAGTACTGGCAAAAGTTTGGACAGATAGATTAAAGGAATAGAACTGAAAATCCAGAAATAAACCCTCCAATTACAGTCCATTGATTTTTGACATGCATGTTAAAACAATTCAATAGTGAAAGGAAGTTTTCAACTGGATGTCCATATGCAAAAGAATGACTTTGGAACCCTGATCCATACCAATACAAAAACAAACTCAAACTGGATCAAAGACTCAAATTTAAAAGCAAAAAGTACTCAAGTCTTAAGAGAAAACATAGGAATAAATGACATTGGATGAAATGGTTTCTCAGATGTGACACCAAAAGTGCAAGCAAAATTAAAAAATAAGATAGGTTTGATCAAAATCTAAACTGTTTAAGCTACAAATGATGCTAATAAAAGAGTGAAATGGCAACTCACAAAATGAAAGAAGATATTTGCAAATCATGTATCTAGTAAGGAACTTGTCTCTAGAATATATAAACAACTCTTACAACTCAATAATAAAAAGGCAAAACTTCATTAAAAAAGTGGTCAAAGAATCTGAATGAAGAATATATATACATCCTAACCAGTTTGGCTCAATGGGTAGAACATCAGCCTATGGACTGAAAGGTCCCAGGTTCGATTCTGGTCAAGGGCATGTACCTTGGTTGCTGGCACATCCCCAGTAGGGGGTGTGCAGGAGGCAGCTGATCAATGTTTCTCTCTCAGCAATGTTTCTAACTCTCTCTCTCCCTTCCTCTCTGTAAAAAATCAATAAAATATATATTTAAAACATGGATGCACAAGTGAGCAATAAGCACATGCAAAGTTGTTTAACGTCATTCACTCCTAGGGAAATGAAAATTAAACCCTTACACTTATCAGAATGGCTAACATTTAAAGCAATGACAACACTGTTGTCAAAGCCGGCAAGGATGTGGGAAAACTGGATCACTTGTGTATTGTTGATGGGAATGTATGCAAAATAGTATAGGACTCCATACAACTAAACATGAAACAACACAGGATCCAGAAACCACACTCCTGAGAATTGAAAACTGACATCCACAGAACAACCTGAACACGAATGTTCACCGCAGCCTTATTTGCATAGTCCCACACTGGATATCATTCGCCAGCTGTGGTACATCCATACCATGGAATACTTTTCAACAGTTAAAAGGAGCAAACTATACATATAACAACCTGGAGAAATCTCCAGGGAATTATGTTGATTAAAAAAAAACAACAACACTCAAATGTTGTATACTGTATGATTCAATTGAAGTAATATTCTTGAAATCACAAAATTATAGAAATAGAAAACAGTGAACTGGGATCTAAGAAGGCATGGGCAGGAGGGGAGTTATTGTGATTGTAAAAGGGGCAAGGAGGCACCCGTGTGGTGATAGAAGTATATTGTGTCTGATCGGGGGTGGGGGCATAAAGGCCACCGTAAGGAGAAAGTACTTCAGACCACAGAGCGAAGCAGGCACCTCCGAAGGAATGACAGGATTTATTACGGGACCTTTTGCATGCAGGGGGGTAGGGTCGGAGCAGACAGGGGATCCAGCCCTGATACAGGTGGTTCTCTGCTGTCAGACCTGTTACAGTGCTTCTTATACTGCAACTCAGGTCTAATGACTGAAAAGACAAAGGGTGCAGTACCTGCCAGAGCCATATTTCCTGATGGCCTGGTGATAGGTAATTGTTTATAATTATACTACCACCAGTTTGACATTTATGTTAGTTGTCATGTCATCTGTTATTAACAAAAGTATTTATGGTACATTGTGTAAGTTTCAGGAACAGGGATAATCCTCAACTGGAAGGCTTGCCCCTGACACTCTCCTCGTCCTCAGGTGGTCAGGTGGAGAGCTGGACATCTGGGCAGGCCGCTCATTCTCCTATGCTGTAGGGTCCAGCATCTCCTGTGCCCTGATGTTTCTGTGTTATCACAGGCAGCACACACTCCCTTGTCTGTGAAGTGGATCGGGACATCTTGGGTGTCACGATAGGTTCATGTTGTAGATTCCACATGACAGACCCCCAAATCCCTGCAGTGCAGGTGTGATGAACCCCCCGCCCCCCCGCGCGCCCCCCCCTCCCTCGGCTTAAGGCCTTGTTTCTATTGCAGCCAAAACCAGGGTGGCACCTTGAGAAGAAGCCACACCCCCTCCAGGCAGGGGTCAGCCCTGGCTGCCTGGCCCCTCCCACAGGCGGGCCAGCTTGTCAGCCCTCCTCCTGCTCTGCCCCCTGCTCCCGCCTGTCTCTGCAACTACAGCCCAGGGAAGGGTTAGAATGAAAGATTTGATTTCTTGAGAATCAAATCTAAAATAATAACTTTTCTTGTAAATTTATATAGTTCACATTCTAAATGTCTTGTCAAGTTTAAAAGAATGTGGCCTGGTAGGGTATAAGTTAACCTTTTCATTAATTTAAAATGTGTCATCAGTCAAGGTTGGTGATTTTAAATTAAGACATCCTAAATTTATCAACAGTATTAGAATATCTGAGAGGATTTAAAACACATTAAGTCTCAAGGACATAAAAAAGCCACATCCTGGAGCAACCTCTGTGCTCTCAGGCCTAAACCTGAGGCTTAAGCCGTGTGCTGCCTTGATCTCTGGTAAAACCAGGAGGGACTTGAAGGCCTGCCCCTCTGATCCCACGGTAAGGCCCCCAAGCCAAACACAGCTTTTGCATAGACCTGAGTATCGGGGTTCAGTACAGGATGAATGGGAGGCGGTTAAAGCACCCTCCCCACATTGGAGACCTCTCCCACGGGGTGAAAGCTGCATGAGGAAGAGACTTTCTGTCCCGTGGGAACTTGCCAGCACCCACATGGCGCCTATGGAACAGTAGATGCTGAATGTGTCCCAGTGGAGTTAATGTACGAATGAAGGCTGACCGCATGGATTTCATGATCGGCTGGGGTTGTGGTTTGTGCCCAGGCCTGAACTAATTCTGTGAATAGCTTTACCATGACTAACCTAGCACTGCTTCCCATCTACACTGCGAGTTCACAGGACCCAGGGGCGCTGGGCTACCCCCTCAGCTCTGGGAGAGGGCCAGCCACCCACACAGCTGTAAGACAGTTGTTGTTTTAAATGCTGTCTTGACCCAGGTTTGAGGCCCTGGCTAGAGGCTGGTCAGTGACTCTCTTGAGCAGCTGATTAAGCCCACACCCAACCACTTCCTTCATGTGGCTCTGACCCTGTTGTAGCCCTAATCATCAGAAACCGGGCACTTGACAGCCAGAGACAGTCCCTCAGCTTCTCAATCCCTAGCAATTATTCAGTCGCCTGGCCATGGAAGGCTGAGAAACCTAGCTAACCCCAGCCCACTGGTCGCACAGCTGCCACTGAAGCTCCAGCTGCCTGCTACCCTGTCCGTGGGCAAGCCCTCGTGTGGCCTGCCGGGCAGCCTGCTCTGGTTTGGAGCTGCGAGTGACAGTCTGCCTTTCATCTATCTGAGCGTCTTTGTGTTGTGTCCACCATCAAAGGAACCTTTACATCTTCGAGAACAATTGGCGCTGTGAGCTGGGCAGGGTGGCCTGATCGTTGGGTGGGGAGACCGCTCTCCCTTTGGCTCCAGAAAACAGTGGGAAGGGATTGCAAGTTAATTGTTAGTCTTGTGCCTGCTCTGTGTCTGCTCATGGTGGCCACTACCTTCAGCTCCAAAGCCCCCCAGCATGGGACTATTCCAGATGAATGGTGCTAATTGGGCAAACTCTGGGGACTGCACTCTACCCCAGGCAGCTTCAGGGTTGTGGTGAGTTACCACCCCACCCCCCCCAATACACACACGAAACACTTGTACAAAGAGTTACTCAATTGCTTAAGTAACGCAAAATCCCAAGTCAATGTGCTTGGGCCCCACTCCCCACATGAATATGCAAAGGACATAACACTCAGATGGGGGCTAACTGCCTGTCCATGGAGAGGATGCCACCCTTCTCCAAAGTGTGAACCCTGACTTCTGGGAGGGGGCAGCCTTGGAAGGAGAGGGATGGCCTGAAAGGGGCCAGGCCTGCAAGGGAGGGCAGTTGGGTGCAATCAAGCCTGCAGGGGAGGGCAGTTAGGGGTGACCAGGCCAGCAGAGGAGAGTATGCAAATTAACCCAACTAAGATGGTGGCTGCCATGGAACTGGAGCTGCACTCCCCACTTCCTTGGAACCTCCTGGAACCTCCAGTGTGAGTTATTAGAGACAAAAGATCATGGCATTGGGATTCTAGAAGCAGCCCTTTACACACACACACAAAAAGAAACAATCTGGATACATGGGGAGGTAAAAAATAATTTTTAAAATATACAGAGTAGGGCAAAAGTGGATTTATAGTGGTGAGTACTCAAAACACAGTTTAATATTGTATTATTATTTATTAATTATTGCATAATTTTTCAAACCAACAACTGTCAACCTACTTTTGCCCACTCTGTACATATATAAACACACATATATAAATCATACATTTATACATACATGTGTGTATAATTAAATTTAAAAAAAGGTCCAGAATCCAACGCAGTTGGAAATCTAAAATTTATTTTATAAACAATGTAACAACAACAACAAAAAAGGGTGCTGATTGGCAATTTTGCCTCTATAACCTAGGTTCTAAATTAACTTTAATATTTGTTTAAATGTACCAACTGACAGTTTCTTAGACTTAATATTAGGTCTCAAATTATAGTGGGAAGGGCTTGCAAGTTGATTATTACCTGTAAACCCCACTAAAATCAAACATGATATCCCCTATAATTACTTAAGAATGTAATCTACACTAATAAAAGAGAAACATGCAAATTGACTATCACTCCACTATACCCACCAGTCAATCAGAGCGAGTATGCAAATTAACCCAACTAAGATGGTGGCTGCCATGGAACTGGAGTGAGCAGGAGGCTTGGGTTGGCCCCAGTGATGGAGGAAGCCAAGTTTCCCACCAGCCCTGGCCGGCCCTGGCCTCCACTCAAGGCTATAAAATTTCAATTAAAGAAGATAAATAAATCCCAGACCTGCTTCCAGCAGGCCCTGGCCTATGCTTGGGTCTCTCAGGGGTATGGCCAGCCTTCAAACCACCACAGGCCCCTTGACCAGGCCACCCCACACCAAAAGGAACCCCCACCCTGATCTGGGACACCCTTCAGGGCAAACCAGCCAGCCTCCACCTGTGCACCAAGCCTCTATTCTACCTAATAAGAGTAATGTGCAAATTGACTGTCACTCCAACAACAAGATGGCTGCCCCCATGTGGACACAAGATGGCTGCCACAAGATGGCCAGCAGGGGAGGGCAGTTGGGAGGGACCAGGCCAGCAAGGGAGGGCAGTTGTGGGTGACCAGGCCAGCAGGGAAGGACAGTTGAAAGGGGCCAGGCCTGTAAGGGAGGGCAGTTGGGTGCAATCAAGCCTGCAGGGGAGGGCAGTTAGGGGTGACCAGGCCAGCAGAGGAGGAAAGTTGGGAGCTATCAGGCCTGCAGGGGAGGACAATTGGGGAGGACCAGACCAGTAGGAAAGAGCAGATAGGGCAATCAGGCTGGCAGGGGAGTGGTTAGGGGGTGATCAGGCTGACAGGCAGAAGCAGTTAGGGGCAATCAGGAAGGCAGGCAAGCGAGCAATTGGGAGCCAGCAGTCCTGGATTGTGAGAGGGATCCCAGATTGGAGAGGGGGCAGACATCTAGTTAAGTATAAGATAGAGAGAAAAAACAGGTATGCCTCACTTTAACTATAGCCCTGGCTAAATTTATCACAGGTACAGTACCCATTGCTCTAAAATATTCCATAGACACTCTGACACAATGAGTAACAAGATAAAATTAAATTGTCTCTGATGTTTGTAAATTGGTTGACAAGATGAGACCCAGTTATAATAGTGAGATATGGTTTTATGTAAGTTAAAATAGAACTTTCAAGGATTAAAACTTACTAGGTAAGATTTAATAATGAATGGGTGATTATCCCCAGTGCTTCTTCATTTGACAGCCCAATTTACCTGTTCTTAAACCTCAAAAAATATATGGCACCTCAGGTGAATTATTGCAACCTTAATGCTGCAGTTCCTTCCATTAAGACACTCCAACCATGTCCCTGATTGGATCTCCCTACTCTGGATCACTGTGCACCAACTCTGATTGCCCCAGAACCAGGTACCTGCCAACCAGGGTAAAATGTGGTGAGGGGATTCTGACCGACTTTCCAAGGAGAGGACTTATGCATTGACAGAGAACAAGAAGCGGTTGGTCAGAGACCTCAGAAAGTGAGGCAGGCCCTGGCTGGGTGGTTCTGGTGATTGAAGCACCATCCTGTACCCCAAAAGGTGCAAGTTCGGTTCCAGGTCAGAGTGGTAAGAGAGACAACCGATCAATGTTTCTCATTGATGTTTCTCTCTCTCTAAAATCAATAAAAAGCATAGCCCAGGGAGAGGATTAAGAAAAAAAAGGAAGTGGTGCAGCCTTGTGAGCAGCACAGATCATGTAGTAGGTTTCAGACAATCCAGGGTGCAATGTCTCCTGACCCTCTCAGACCCAACATCGCCATAGGGCCTAATGGGCATTTGCTCCTCCGAAGGAGCTCAGTCTGGAGGGCTAGCTGCAGACTAGTTTTCATATGCAGAAATGTCAGGAGCAGCCATGCTCAGGGAGTAGGCTGGTTTGC